CCTGACTGAAAAATGTTGGATTGGATACCTGGATTATTGAGCATGTACTTTGTTGTTAGGCTGCCATTAGCTTTTTAGTTAGTGCACCTGTATTGCTAGTTTAGCGTTACGTCAGTGCTGACAGTAATTGGCTTTTCTATGTATGTGAATGTTCCTGTAAAGTGCCCTGAGACAACTCTGTTGTGATTTGGCGCTGTATAAATAAATAAAATTGACTTGAAATGAAACTGAATTGGTTGGGGTGGAGTGCAGTTCAGTAGACGGAGTGCCGCGCTTGTATAATGGTAAGGGAAACACTGGTTAGAATAAATCTGAAAGGAGCACAAAACAGCTGAAAAAACAGCTGAAATTAGCTGATAGTAGCTGTTTTTTTCCCCCACAAAGAAGCTGAAAGAAGCTCAACTGTAACAAAATGTGAAAGGAGCAGTAAAAGGTTGTAAACAGATCTAAAGATTTGAAGGATGGAAAATGAGCTCAATTCACTTTCTATGAAAAAATGGCACAGGATCGCAACAGTGTGAATAAACATTCACACAGTTCAAACAAAAACAAGGCAAACTCTACATCACCAAAACAAGCTGTTCATTCAAGTAAAAGAAAATAAATAATTGAAGGTTTTTCTATTGACTGCTGCTGTTCCCTCACACTGTGGTTGAGGTTCGAAGACAACACACGGGTTCATGAGCTGCCGTCCACTTTCAGTGGAGTGCCAGTAGTGGTTTAAGTTGCAGGTTCACCTCCTGAATCCACCTACTGCACAAACACACTGGGAGGCATTGTGGCAGGAAAACACAGATTAGGTGAGGGGCTGAACACACAATGAAAGCCTTATTTTGCTGAAGTTTTAAGCACCCAAAACAACTGTCTATTTATCTTTAATTTGAGCTAACACTTTACAAACAATCCAAGTAGCGGCTGTGCTGTGATGTTTGTCTAAGTCAAGTTGCTCTACTTAAACATTCACATTTATTTATTGTTATTTTCCCCATGAGCTCCAAAAAATATACTGTATGTCTAAGTAATGATTGAAGTTTACAATGTGACCATCTTTAGTAAAGACTTTGACATGTTAGATTTGTGCATAAATATTCTAAAGCAAAACGCAATTCTGATCGTGTTAGCTATTTTTATGTCTTTCTAAATGTTAAAATTATCCCCAACTAGTTGGAACAATAGAACTTTTTGATAAGATTAGTGTCAGATATAAAAACAAGACCATAAAAATACTGTAGGCTATTTAGTTTTTGTAAAAAAAAAAAATCATATTAATGTCTCGATGCTGTTGCCTTTCGCACTTTTGGTAGATGACATAAACAAGTTGAACTCCATGCAGTTTGAACGTTAATTTTGCACTGCGTCTTATGTTCAGCACTTTAAATTTGAACCGGAGTGCGTTGACAGAGAGGAAAATGCTGAAATGACTCAGACTGCAACTGAAAATGAGGAAGGCCAAAAAGATGAAGAGGAGCGAGTTGGACAGAAGAGCTGTTTGTGCTGCAAACAGCAGAGCTGGTTCATGAAAACTGTCCCAACTTTAGCCGTTTAGCTTTAACGTTAGCTCCAGAGCTAATATAGCAAACATCGTAAGTAACAAGTTGAATGCGTCTGAACCAATTGTTTCTCCCACCATTATACAAGCGGGATGCCCTGTCAACAGAACCGACGAGCGCCCCGCCTACCGACACCCCCCATCGACAGCTGTCAGTATAGATGTAGCACAGGGCGCTGTCATTCCCCGATCTGTTACGGAAGCAAGATCCGTAGTGTAGCTCGTTTGCGCATGCGCTAAAAGGAACACTTACGGGTCGCACGGATTGCCGTTGAATATGCTAGATTAAAGCCCCCAGTATACTCCCGCGTACATCCATACACAGAGGTACGCACGTACGTACCCGGAGGTATGAGCATACCCCCAAGGGCATGTCCGTGCAAAGCTCAATTTTTACAACCACGTACTCAGTGTCGCACAATAAACTGCCCGGCGACGGACTGTTTTGTATGCGACACCAATGTATTAAATTCCCCTTCTTCATCTCTGATCTGGCCTTTTCTTTAGTTTTTTCGCCAAGAGGCAGTGATCTCTTCCTCCTCCGTTGATGCCATGACTGAAATGGTGAGAAATGAAGGAATTTGTTGCGAGCGAATTAAACTCAGGTCCAGCGTGGCTGCGGGAGGGTCTGGAGATTTCCTGGTGGGCTGCTCTGATGTGTGGGCTGCAGAGCTAGCGCTCCCTGTTTTTAAATTTTTTTTAGATGTTTTTATTAACAACACAGAGCACTGCTGCGGCTGAGGCTGCCAGCGCTTGTTTTTTTCTTCTTTTTTCCGACCTGTCAATCAATTCAGTAGGCGTGTCTGCAAATGACCAATCGGCGACCTCAATTTGTCCCAAAAGTAAACGCCCCTTGTCTGTGAAGCTGCTCTGCAGCTGTTCAGGGTGTACGCTGGAGTCTGAACCCTCTGCATACAACACACGCGTACGTACGTGTGAATGGACATACGCGGGAGTATACTGGGGGCTTAAGAAAAATGTACTGGTATAATTCCGTTTATTAATAAGAACTGTTGTAATTTACTTAGAAAAGTATGTGCTCTAACTCCGCCGATTTTCATGTTGCTAATTTACGCCACTCGTATTTTCGTTAAAATTATTGACATATTTAGGTCATGGTTGAAATGATATGCAGCTTCACCACTGAGCGGCGCTGTTTCACCATGGAAATCATTAATTCTGTATCTTGCAGGGTTTTTTCTCATGCAGCCCAGGCTGGGGGTCAGGTCTAATGTGTCACATATGATCTTAACCAATGATTTGTAAAGGAAATACGAGTGGCGTAAATTAGCTACATCAAGATCGGTGAAGATAGAACACGTACTTTTCTAAGTCAAATAAGACCGTTTTTATTCATAAACAATGGCGATTCATGTGACCTGGAAATACACTACGAATCATGCTCCCATAACAGATAGGGGAATGACAGGTGTAATAGAAATGTGATAGCAAAAATGCTACTGACGTACTGCTTATTAGTGGCAGCAACGTAGTGCTAACCTAGCAGGTGGGCAACACAGACATGACTCAGTCCCGTCCCCCAACTCCCCAGTCGTCGATAAAAATCGGCAGCAATGTAGCACTAACCTAGCAGGCAGACAACGCAAACATGACTCAGTCCTGTCCCCCATCCCTCGTCGTTGATAAAAACCAGCAGCAACATAGCACTAAGCTAACAGGTGGGCAACACCGACGTGACTCTGTCCCGCTCCCAATTCGCCCCCCTATTGTCGATAAAAACCGGCAGCAACGTAACACTAAGCTAGCTGGCAGGCAACACAGACGTGACTCCATCCTGTTCATTCCCCGACCCCACCTCCCTCTGTCGACAAAATATTAAATACGACGAGCGCCCCACCAAGGGAACTGATGTAGGGGAAACACTGTATGCTAATTGTTGGTCAGAAGCCAATGATCTGATAATCGCAGATAACCAAGATGAAAATAGTTTCAGCACTCTGAATCAAACTGTGAGGTGCTGTAAGAGTCCCACCCCTAATTTACAATCACAACATTCAAAGAGGTCAGCTCAGAGTCCATATTGCAAATGATCCAGCTACTACCATGCTAAATTTTAGCTCAATATTTGGAAAACGGACTGAGTTAGTGTTGAATAGCTGTGGTAGCCATCTTGTATTGGTCTGACTCTCAGTTAATAAGTTGTAGATGTAAAACCAAACAAAAACATTACTGTCCACTTCTTCAGCAGTGGGTTGGATCGCTTATCTAAGCAGCCTTTTTACTCCATGATGTTTGTTGAATCACATGTAGCTTGTGATGCTCCAAACAATCTCCATCTAAAGGATGAAATAGTATGTGATCATGCTGTCTTAGTTATCTGTTATGTTCTGCTCTCTTAGTCACACACAGAGCTCATTTCAGTCCTTATGATGGTATTTTTTTCTCCAACCAGACACCAGATTCCAGCACAGCTGCCCTCTCGTCCACAGACACATCCTCAGGCCACATACATTCTTGACTCTTTCACAAAAGCTAATTACGGCTCCTTGTTAAGCTCTGGAAGCTCAACAAGACCAGCTGAGACAGTGGATTCTTTCCTAATTACAACTGCAATAAAAACAAATAATAATAATAAAATTTAAAAGAAAAACTTCTCAAGATCTACGCTGATAATCCAGCAGCAAGAGTTTCTAAAGGAAAGCAAATGCAGGAAGGAAAAAGCTTCAAAACTGAATTCCAGGGCTTTTCTCCAGTCAGAAATGACCAGCCGATGAGAAAAACATCTCTCTACAATGCGTAAAGTAGCTCGACTCTTGTGCAAAGACACACTCGAGCTAAATTCCAAACACATGCAAATCTTTTGGAAGCCTGCACGCTGGAGAGAACGTGCACACGTTTAAACAGTTACATCGAGTGAATGAAGACCGAGGCGGGGAGTCGAGAAGATGGCGGACCACCTACTCTGCACTCAGAGTTAAATCAGGGCCAGGAAACACAGAGAGAGCTGGGAGACAGAAGCAGAGGAGTCAGATTTGAGTCTTTCGGTTTAGTCGAGGTCTGTAGGTGGGGGAGTGTTTAAACAGGAAGCTGGCTTCTGTCCCACTTCCTGTCCATCTCCAGGAAGTGGAGACTGAACTCAAAGGTGCATTCAGAGCCATCCTCTTTGAGGAACAAGTAGGTCAGAATTCAACAAGGAATTAGAATAAAATACTTCAATACGCAGCGATGAAGCACGTCGTCAGAAAACGACAGAGGCCCAGAAAAATTAACAGAACAGGAAGTTTGCTTCTCAAATGATACCCGAGGCAAACAGGACTCAGTAAACTGACAGCATGCTGCCGAACCTCTGGGATGTATTATTAATCTGATCAAACGAGAAAGGATGTCGTGCTGTTCTGTTTTTGTTTTTTTTAGCCCAGAATTTTTCTTGAAAACTTTATGAACACAACAAGAGCAACTTGATGTCAAAATGACAAAAGAGGTGACTCACCGAAATCTGGAAGACTTCCTGTGTGTCATCGAGCATCTGAACCCTTATGGAGACTTGGCGCCCCGCGGGTTGAGTTGGAGGGTGCGTGCCTGGCTCCAGGGTGGACACTCCAAAACTTTCAGGGGCGCCCAGCCTCTGTCCGGCTGTGGACTGCCTCTCGGCTGGATCGGACATTTTGACCGCTGTTTCCGTCTGGAGAGAAGAAAGAGCGACAGTTTGACTCTGTGCTTCAAGTTGAGAAACAGAACAACCTCTACTGATTCTCATTAGGAAAAAGTTTAAATCTGGGCATACGGAATACTTATAAATAGAGATGCACAATATTGGATTTTTGGCCGATATCTGATATGTCCATATATATATATAACTTATTTGGCCGATAACCGATACCAATACCGATATTTCTCCCCCTAAACCTACTTACAGAGACTACATAGCTTTCTCTGCTGTGGAATTAAAATACTACATTATGGTCTTTGTCAGTTTAGCCTGCTACCAAATGTAGATGCCAAAACCTCATTACCTCATTTTGTATTTTGCTTCGTGTGTTACCTGTTGTTTTGTCTGTACAGCACTTTGGTTGGCCTTGTAGCTGTTTTAAGTGCTTTATAAATAAAGTGGTATGGTATGGTATGGTATGGTATGGTATGGTATGGTATGGTATGGTAAAAAGGGGCTGAAAATGATGGAAAACTTCAACTTGGATTATGTTTAATGTCAAATTTATTCATGATATTTACTCTCTCTAACACAATGACAACATTTGAACAGTGCAAGTTGGTACATTTTCACAAATCTAAACTCAACCTGTTCACAAGTGACAATGCAGCTGCGTCGCATAAGTAGTAGTGCATTAATAGATATACTTGACAGTTTCTTAAATTAAAAATATACTTAAAAAAAGAAGCCTTTTATACCGGTGAGTTATTTTGATGGAATGGCCGATATTTAACTTTATCGCTGATATCGGCCAATACCGATACCATGCCGATAATATCGTGCATCCCTACTTATAAAATCAAAAGCTTGAGGATTGAGTCTTCTTTTAAATAGCTAGTGTTGATAAAATTTAGCTAGCTGCTACTGCAGTTACTTGTTCTTGCAAATTACCAGTCTTTTATGCAAATACTGCATTCTGAAATGAACAACAATGTAAAAGCGTATAAAACAGTGTTTGCATTAACGGCTTTTAAGATTAGCCTTGTTTTAATATGGCAGCAATCACTCTGGTCTGGATCCTACTCAGACTAGCCACTGGCAATAATGTAATTTATTGGTATCAGCAAATTAGTTTTATCAATATTTACAGTTTTTCACATGAACAAAGACATCAGAAGTGAATTTAGTTCTTAACATATAGAGTTCAATTCAACACAATTCCATTTATTTATATAGTGCCAAGTCAAAACAAAAGTCATCTCAGGGCACTGAACAGAAACATTTATATATAATAATAACTTAACACTATTTATCGAAGGAGCAGACTGTTTTGAGTTTAACTTCATCACGGACTCATCTTGAGCAAGCATGAAGGCGACAGTGGAAAGAAAAAACTCCCTCATGAGGAAGAAACCTTTAGCAGAACCAGGCTCAGGACAAGTGGTCATCTGCTTCGACCAGCTGGGTTTGAGAGGAACAGGAAGGAGGAACGGATACACAATGGCAGGTTGAGAATCACGTTAAGATAGAAATAATATAAAATGAAAACTATTTAATTTTAACAATTCATTTGATGGAATGAGGTCAATTTGTCCTTCAGTAGTCCGTCTATAGCAGCATAACAAGCCAACCCTAACTATAGGATTTTTCAAAAAGGAAAGTCTTAAGATCTTCATCCCATTCAAACATAATAAAGAAACTGAAAGTTAAACCGGGTTTCTTTTTCAGCTGTTTAACTCTGAATGCTAGGAAACACCTTGTAAATGTGACTTTCCTTCCATCCATTGACTACGATGACATTATTTACATGAACGCTCCTACAAGAACCCTGCAGATGTTGGATGCTGCCTATCATGGTGCATTAAGATTCATAACTGGCTGTAACTACCATACCCATCACTGCACCCTGTATTCACTGGTTAACTGGTCATCATTAACTTCACACAGATGCTCCCATTGGTACATTTTCATCTTTAAATCACTTCTTGGTCTGCTGCCTTCATACATCTCCTCCTTCATGTCTCTACGTGAGTGCAGTTACAGCGTGCGCTCTCAGGACATTATTACCTGAAGTGTTCCCTCAGTGAGGACTGAACTTGGCAAAAGGGCCTTCTCCTACTCCGCTCCTGTTTCCTGGAATATCTTGCAAAAAGATCTGAAGCTCTCGATCTTGACCTGGCGTTGACCTGAAGTGGCTTTAAAAATCTGTTGGACTCCTGGCAGGGACCAATGCAGACATGTTCCTGTTTTTAGATTTCTATACCGCCTTATAAGCTAGCTGGGTTTTGTTTTTTTTTCCTTTTTTTCTTTGCTACTTTTCCTTTTGGTTGCTAGTTTGTTTTGATTTGTTAAAATAAATAAATTTAATTTGTATGCCTCTTTTATGATTGTCTGTTGTCGTTGTTGTTGTTATCCACTGTTGTCATCACTTTTTGTTAAAGAAATCAGGTCTCTCTTGTAAATGAGTCCCCGAGGCTCAATGGGATTAACCTGTCTAAATAAAGGTTGAATTGAATTCTGCTCCTGGAAACTCTAGGAACTGCAAGTAAGCCTGCACACTGTAAGCAAAGTGCTCTGTTGAGAAAATATGGAACAATAAAATCTCAAATATAAGATGGAGCTAGGTTGTTGAGGGCTTTGTAGGTTAGAAGTAAAATTTTGAATTCAATTCTAGATTTGACAGGGAGCCAATGGAGAGAAGCTAAAACTGGAGAAATATGATTTCTCCCAATAACTCCAGTTCAGACTCTGGCAGCAGCATTTTGGATCAACTGAAGACTTTTTAAAGACGTATTTAGACACCCAGATAACAAACCATTGCAATAGTCCAGTCTAGACATCTTCATTAATAATAATAAACGTCTATAATAATGTCGTAAAAATAATTAGTTGGGGGGGCTTAATGATTCAACAGGATTGTGCAATAAGATTATTCTAATGGCTGTCCTTTTAAAATGGTACTCATTAACAACTATGAAGTAAAACATAAAAAGGTGATACTGAGCTATATTAAATGGCTCAGTTTTAAGAGTTTACCAGATGCAATTCTCAAATGTGGGTCCACATTTAGTGTAAACAAAGCACTCTGCTGGATCCTTGAGTCACATGACTGACCTACATTAAGCTGACCATAGTCTTTGTAGATAGACATTCTTCTCATGTACGATTCCACCGTATATGTTTGAGATGTTTAGGTGGAATTAAAATTAAGACTGGATCTATAGTTAAAGAAAAGAGGAAAACAAGACAACAAACTCACATTTGTTGACCTATTTTCAGTCACTTTTACTGTTTTCTCATGTAAACAAACACAAATCTTGAATTTAAGGGCATATCATGACATGAGATGGACAAGAAGCTGAGTACAGGGAACTGGTGGACCGCTTTGTGGCATGGTGTGGAACAATCATCTCATTTTGAATGTGAACAAAACAAAAGGGGATGATTGTAGATTTCAGGAGAAACAGGAACAGGTCCAACCCTATTTCCATCATGGGAGAAGAAGTGAAGGTGGTGGAGAAGTATAAATACCTTGGGGTTCACCTGGACAACATACTGGACTGGAGATGCAACAGTGAAGCCGTCTACAAGAAGGGACAGAGCAGACTGTACTTCTTAAGGAAGCTGAAGTCCTTCAACGCTTGCAGCAAGATGCTGCATATCTTCTATAAGTCTGTTGTAGAGAGTACCATCTCTTCTGCCATCATCTGCTGGGGCAGCACCAGAGCAAGTGACTTAAAAAAGATCAACAAGCTCATAAAGAAGGCTGGCTCAGTTCTGGGGACTCCTCTAGAACCTTTGGAGATGATTGTACAAAGAAGGATTCTTCATAAAATAAAGAACATTATAGACAACCCTCAGCATCCTCTTCATCAGACTGTCATACAACAACAAAGTGTCTTCAGTCAGAGGCTTCTTCAGATCCGTTGTAAGACAGAGACTGCTACAAAAGATCCTTCGTGCCCACAGCCATCAGCATCTATAACAACTCTTTAATGAAACCAGAATGATGAGTTACAACATTTAATTTCCCTCTGGGATTAATAAAGGTTTTGTTTTTTAATTACAGAGAGTAATGCCCATAAGCCAAAATACCGTTCAAACACTTGGAAAACAGCTTTTATTCTACCTTTACTGAAGGGAGGAGACCCCACTATACTGAACAACTACTGACCGATCTCTAACTTCTGTATTCTCGATAAGGTTTTAAAAAAAATTGATAAACACTTAAGTCAAGAAGCATTTGGACTCTTAACATCGTATCTTCCCATCAATCTGGTTTCAGGAAACACAGCACAATGACTGAAGGTTTTAATGATGTTGTTGAAGCTTTGGATGCCAAGGATTACTGTGCTGCACTTTATTTAGACCTGTCTAAAGCTTTTGACACTGTGGATCATGACAAAAGCCACCAGAAATTGATTTCTCAAGTCACACTATTGGTTGGTTCTCTAATTATCTCTCATATCAGAGGCAATGTTCAACATAACGGTACCTCTTCCAGCTATGTCAACAATGGTGTACCACAAGATTCAGTCTTAGGACCCACCCTCTTCACAATCTACATAAGTAATGTAGGTCAGATCATTCCTGATGCGTCCTTACATTTATATGCCGACGACACGTTTATTGTCGAGCTAGAACAGTTGCTAAGGTTTTTCAGCTCGTACAATCTCCATTTGACATCATCCAGTCAGAAATGTTCCATCTCAAACTGGTGCTAAATGCTGATAAAACCAAAGGGATGTTTTCAAAAGGGAAGTTGGTACCAGCAGTCCTTCCATCCATCTTATCTACTAATGGTGTTCCTATTGAGTTTGTGGATTTTTACAAATACTTGGGAATTTTGGTCGACTCACATCTCTATTTTAATCCTCATGTCAAAAATTTGGTAAAGAAATTGAAATTAAAACTGGGTTTCTTTTTTATAAATAGATCCTGTCTAACTCTGAAAATAAGAAATGCCTTGTAACCGCGACTTTCCTTCCCTCTATTGATTTCGGTGACATTTTCTTCCATGAATGCTCCTACAA